CTTACAACTCTTACCCCCTTTACCCCCTTACCCGCCTGCCCCCACCTCCCTCCCCCTTTTTCCCCTCCTTTTTCAGTCCTTTTTTTTAATATATAAATACGCACACATACTTAGGCACTGAGCAGCGACCAGAGGACACTGGAAACGGATACAATCTATTAGTGGCAGATGTTAAGTCGAAGATTACGCAAATTCTAAGTTCAGACCTTAGTCTAGGGCAGATAAGGCTGGCGCTGTCATCGATCGTCGTCGCCAAAATGTCGTATTTTTACATGGTGAAAGCAGCTGGCAAAATGAAGCTAGTAGTCACGCTTGAGGCAGCTACACAGTTGGACACTGAGATCAGGGCGATGTTATCGGAAAGGAAGGCGATTTACGCAAAATCTTGCACAAGCCGTGTCTACCTAGCCGCAAAGGAAGGCTGATACAGATGGCTTTCGATGAAGGACCAGCTGGAGAATCAGATGATAGCGTTCTACGTTTTTCTAGCTAGCATGCCAGAACTGAGACCAATATGGTATTTTGATGAGGCCACTCGCAGGATCGGCAAGCACAGTGTAAATACAGACGCTAGGGAAGTGCTAGCTAGGTACGAGGTAGAAGTATCAGGTGGTAACTCGTGCTTCTACGGCGATAGGGACTATCTCAAGCAGCCGCGGAAGTTGAGAAGGTTTTTAGTAAATAGGATAAGGGAATATAGGGCAGCATTCTGCAGTGGCGTAGTAAGGAGGTGGTAGGGAAGGCTCACTGAATGGAGGACCTTAACCACTACCTCAGTCTTAGATGGCTTAAGAAAGGCTGCAAAAAACGCTAGAATAGCTTTAGGCGTACAGGAGCGTAACATATTTCCTAAAGCTAGTGCGGCAGCTAAGGCAATAGGAAAAGCGGTAGGTAACAATAGACCAAATAAGTGTATGCAATCCGGTAAGACGGAGGAGACCGTTGAGCACGTAGTGTCAGCATGTAGTCAGTGGCTCTCCAACCTGTACGTAGAAAGACACGACGCTGCACTTAGGGTAATATACTACCGTTTGGCAAACATCAGGACTTTACTTAAATGGAAGTAAAGGAGGCTGCGGTTGGCCGTCTCTCAAATTTGAAGTTGAAAACTCCATTGTGGATGTTTA